ATGAAAGTTTCATGTAGTCATTTTTCAGAGGAAAATTTCTTTTCCTACATGTTGTATTAAATTCCTACATTCCTACCCTACTTATTACACATTGAGGACTTTAATCATAGGTATTGTATCTCTGTGAATAACCTATTTTGACCTATAGGCTATTTTAATAACTAAAAAACAAAGCAACACAAACGAAAATTCTACCAGCACTTACAAATTAAAATATTTTAAAATATCACACGTGTGGGGTGGCTGGTGATGTCATTGTCTTTAATTCAATGTGCAATATTTTAATAATATAAGCAGCACTAATGAAACTTTCATTGGTCAAATCCAGCAGAAATGAAACAAATTGCGCAAATAATGACACCAATTTTGTACAATTTAGAGGAACTGGGTAGTAGTGATGTCACGGCTCCCCAAATATTTTGGTCATGTCTAAACAACAAAAACAGATCTAGTGTTTGTCTTAACGGCCTAAACCAGAACAATTCAAGCACAAACAAACTGTGCTGATTTGGAGTGGTTTGAGCAGCATGGTGTAAAAAGTGATGTCACATGGTCAAAAAAAAAAGAGTATGCTTAATATCTCAGACCCAAAAAAAAAAAAGAGCCCGGCACAAACCAATCGCATAATTTTGGGAATTATTTATTGGTATTTATTTTATTTTGATGGTCCACTTGAGTATTAGTAAACGGTCTGCATAATATCTGTTAGAAAATCCGAGCATGGGCCGTTTTTTTTTTTTTAAATGACGCTTTTGCGCCTGACGTTTTGCTCGTAGGTGTGCACGATCACATTGACACCCTTTATTTAGTCACGAGGCGGTAAACGTAGACGGAAAATGAGAGCAAAAAAGGCCTCGGTGTGCACAGGCCTTAACGGTCTAGATGCAACATAAATTAATTCAACAAACAGACTATCAAAATAAAGTTTGTCCTATTTATTTTTAAGGGGTGCCAACTTTACAGATTTGTTTAGAAAACACCACTGTTTTATTTTCAGTGAACGTATGCAGATTACATTTTTATTATTTTTTGGGGGGGTTATAACAATGTCAAACAGCTTATACATTTTTTCTTTAAACATGCACAAAACTCAATCTCTGATATAAATAAAAGACCAACAAAATCCAAACCTAATAAATGAAAAAACGTGCCATTTGTATTTCACTTAAATCAGTTTGTTCGAATGTGTTTCAATATGACATGACTTCATTTGACTTGCAAAATATTTTTACTCGTGATCCTAAACCAAAATGAATTCAACGGAAAGCTGCAGGCGACAGGTCCTTGATGACATTGAATTAAAGATGTTTCATTGTGGTGACATTGTGCTAACATTTGAATTACCATTGTGTATGAAAAGTACTATATAAATATAAACTTGCCTTTTGATACGATTAGATTAAACACGGAGACACACTGCCAGAAAACACAGCTTTTTGACTTTGTTTTTTAAGTATAATAGACAGAAAACATCTAGTTTTGTCTCACTTGATCATTTTGTGCCTGTAGATTTTAATTACACTACATATTTTATAGGATGTTTTCTAAAAACTAGCCATAAATCTCCATTTAATCAACACTTACAAACCAAACTACACACCCTTTTTGTACAGAAGGACTTGATCATCCATAATTTGTCTAATTATACAGTGTTCAGCATAAATACCCCTCACAGATTTCCTACTGGATGCTTTACAATGACATATTTGTGCATGTATACTAGGCATGGGCCAGTATAAGATTCTGACAGTATGAGAACCTTGGAGAAAAATATCACGGTATCACGGTATTGTGATTAATGCTCTAAAATACTTTGTTTTTAAAAGTCCGGGTAAAAAACGAATACTTTATTTTTTCAACTTTATTATTTAAACACAATATATTTTATTTTAAGAAACATTTAAAATATTTTGGAACAGTAAACATGTCAAGCTAAATAATTCAAATAAATAATTGACTTCTGCTGTCTTCATTAGTTTCGAAAACAGATTTTTATTTTTATTTTACAGTGTAAGACGGCATATTTGGATATATTTTCTGCTAGTGATACTGTTGTCCCAAAAACTTTTTAAAAAGTTAAAAAAAAAATTAAAAAAAAAACTTGTTGAAAAAAAAAAAGGCCTTAAAACCTTGACTTTTCCAAATCGCACTACCTTGAAAACGGTTTTCGTCCAATGCCTAATATATATTAGATTAAACAGTCCCAAAGCCAAAACTGGAACTAATCTAACAAAAACACTGAAGATCAGTCCAAAAATAAGTATTAAAATGTTAATAAAAATTTAGCTGAAATTTTTGTAGTTTTTAATTTTTATTAAAGTCTATTATCTTTCAATTCCTAAAGGTGTAAGGTGATCATTTTAATGAATATATCTGTTAAATAAAACTGTTTTGTTTATATGCATTAAAATTATTGATTATATTCACTGACAAATAAATAAAAATATGAATTTTCAAACATTAAATACTATAAAAACATTGCCTGTCCGCAGTATTTTAAGAGATATGAAGACGTATAAAAAACATGTCTAAAATAGCCCCTCAGTAAGCATTTTTGACTAATATGTTAGAATGTATATATTTTTAGATATACCGGCCTTTAATTCCATTTTTGTGCTGGAAATCAGTGCATATTTAATTAAATAACGCCTCATTTGCATGTCTAAATTCATCAATTCAATTTCTAAGATAATATTCCTACACTGTAAAAAATTACATGCACCAATTTAAAATCAATTTAATTGGTGCAGAACTAAAGAAAGAGGTGCGTGGTGCTTGCAGAGCAGATATGTGCTAGAGCAGTGATCCCCATTCATCGGGCCACAGACAACCACCGGCCTATAGATCAAATGGTAGCGGGCTGCACAAAAAAAAAAAAGCTGTCCTGACAGCTTATGTTATTAGGTCATTGTAACTTATTAAATGACAAACTATCATGTTCTAACTTAATTTTATAACTTATGCAAGCTGTTTTAAGTCAGTTTAACATAATATAAGTTCAATGGACTCAATAATTCAGCTTACAAATTTAAGGCAACCAGGATTTGTTTTAACAGTGTACTGTAAAAAAAAAAAAAAAAAAAAAAAAAAAAAAATGAAAAAATTCGAACAACAAAAAGTCAAGACGCCAAATATTTTTATGTTGCTTTAAAATGATTTTAATAAGTTAATCAGGTTTCAACTAATTAAGTTATTTAAACTCAGTCAGTCTGATTGATGTAATTTGAGATGACTAGAAAAGTTAATTTGATTCAACTAAAAAACTGGGTAACACTTTAGGCCACAATTCATGGTATCAACAAACCATTAGCTAACACTACTAGCTTAATAAATGACTAATTAGCTGTTTTCAACAGTTAGTAAGGTAGAAATTGGGTTTAGGATTTGGGAAGGATTGGGGTTGCAGAGTAGGTTATTGGTTTATAACTACTAACGAACAGTTAATATCTTAATAATAGGCAGGTAATAAGTCAGCGATTGATGGCATGAACTGTGACCTGGACTAAAGTGTTACCAAAAATATAAGTCAGCAAGAACTTTTTTTTTAACAATGTATCATAATCAGCTAAACAGGTGAGAGTTCTTGGTTAATTTTTTACCCAGTTCACCTTCAGTGTCTCTGCCTTGATATACATGCCTGTAAGTCAATATGTAAATCAATATTGCATCTTAAAGGAAAAGGTTATATACAGTTGAAGTCAGAATTATTAGCTCTCCTGAGTTATTACCGCCTGTTTATTTCCCCCCAATTTTTGTTTAACAGAGAGAAGATTTTTTTCAACACATTTCTAAACATGTTAGTTTTAATAAATTATTGATAACTGATTTATTTTATCTTTGCCATGATGACAGCACATAATATTTGACTAGATATTTTTCAAGATACTAGTATTCAGCTTTAAGTCACATTTAAAGGCTTAACTAGGTTAATTGGACAAGTCATTCATTGCATACCGATGGTTTGTTCTGTAGACCAGTGGTTCTCAAACTATGGTACGTGTACCGCTAGTGGTACGTGAGCTTACTTTTAGTAGTACGTGGAGGAATCACTAAGTAATGAAAGAAAAAATGAATACAATTTTAATAATTTGATACGTCGATAACTCCAATGTATTCAGCATTGGCTGTTCTCTAAAGCCTACGATCAAAGCGATGTGCTCAGAATGTTTACTTTAGTGCATCGCGTCATCAGCTGCTAAAAATCTATTCAATTGGTGCAGAACTAGAGAAAGAGGTGCGTGGTGCTTGCAGAGCAGATATGTGCTAGAGCAGTGATCCCCATTCGTCGGGCCACAGACCACCACCGGTCTATAGATCAAATGGTAGCGGGCCACACAAAAAAAAATCATTATTTGTTTTGGTTTTATTTGTAATCCGAGTATGAACCATCATTTATTTTGAGAAATCTTTTATTTAAAAAAAAATTACTGTATTCTCATGTTACATCCTGGTCACTTGAGTGCCAAAGTTTAACCCACAGGCTAGCAAATTGAGTAAGAACTGCAGCACGATGCACTTGCGTATTTCAGGCGTCCCCAGTTGAAAACATCTTAACTCTTCAGAATGCCGCACCGCGAGTCACATACCAAAGAACCGTCTTTTCAGCTTCATATTTTGTATAGAATATAATTTCGTTGAACGAATATGACTGAGCAGTGCTGTAGCTGCTTAATTTAGCCAACTTTTCGTGGTACTTGGAGAGACAATTTTTTTCTGAGGTGGTACTTGATATAAAAGGTTTGAGAACCGCTGCTGTAGACAATCGAAAGCAAATATTGCTTAAGTGGGCTGATAATTTTGACCTTTAAATGGTTTTTAAATTTTTTATTCCAGCCAAAATAAAACAAATCAGACTTTCTCCAGAAGAAAAAATATTATAGGAAATACTGTGAAAAATTCCTTGCTCTGTTAAACATCATTTGGGAAATATTTAAAAAAAAGAATATAATTTTAACGTTGACTTTATATGAAGGGAGATCAAACAGGCAGTTTTTATGAATCTAGAAGTTGTGCCTGTCGATGCGCTCGTGGTTTTCTTCTCGTGAGCTCTTTCTCTTCATGCTCAGTATGTATTCAGCAAACTCTCGAACGGCTCCGTGTCCACCGGCTCTCTGACACGTATATTTTGCGGCGATGAGTTCAGCCACCGGGGCGTCAGACGGAACGCCGTTCAGTCCGGCCTGAGACATGATCTCCACATCTTCTGACTCTGAGCCTGCGAGGGGGGAAAACACACCTTAAGCCTGGTTTATTTTAACACACATTTATTGAAAATCAATGATATAAAACAATGTAAAATGCTCCAGGTCAGTATTTCCCAACCCTGTTCCTGGAGGCACACCGACAGTACATGTTTTGGATGTCTCCCTTATCTGACCCATTCATTTCAGGTTTTGGAGTCTCTTCTGATGTTCTGATGAGTTGATTCTGGTGTGTTTGATTAGGGAGAGGTTGAAAATGTGTACTGTCGATGCGCCTTAAGGAACAGGGTTGGAAAACACTGCTCTATATTGAATCCTTCATTCAGGAGTTTTTCAAAAAAAATTATAATAATAATTTATAATGAAATGATACTCATGTTAATGGATTTTTTAAAATATATAAATCCAGACTACAGAACACCAGCACATCTAATCTGGGCAAATCTAATCACTCTGAGTTGGACTTGGATTTTTTTCATGTATTTTAGTGTCAAATGATAGTAAAAAAAAATACTTGATATATATAGCACTAATATTACTGCTTAAAACCTCTAATAGAATTTTTTCCCTCTCAATTATTTCCCTAATGATGTTTAACCGAGCAAGAAATTTTTCACAGTATTTTCTATAATATTTTTTCTTCTGCAGAAAGTCTTATTTGTTTTATTTCAGCTAGAATAAAAGCAGTTTTTAAGTTTTTAAAACCCATTTTAGGGTCAATATTATTAGCCCCTTGCGTAATATTTGTTTTCGATCGTCTACAGATCAAACCATCGTTATACAATGACTTGCCTAATTACTTATTATTATTAGTTGTATTTAATACCTGTGTTATATAATAAACGCGAACATGCTGAGGTTCATTTTCACCAAGAAATCTCGGTGTTTTGTTTGATGAAAACTTAAAATTTGACAGGCAGATCAGTCCTGTCGTAAAATCCTGCTTTTACCACATCAGACAACTCTAAAGTCAAGACATTTTTATCCCAGAGAAATATCCAAACAGTGATTCTTGCCTTCTGGATTACTGTAACTCTCTTTATTATGGTATTTCTCAGTCTTCTCTTTCATCTGCAGCTGGTACAAAATGCGGCTGCTAGATTACTCTCTGGCTCCTGCAAGTATGAGTCGGTAACTCCCATTTTAGCTGCACTTCACTGGTTACCCATTAAATACAGAATTGATTTTAAAATTGTGTTATTTGTTAACAAAGCTGTCAATAATCTTGCTCCTCAGTACCTTACTGACTTGATCTGTCTACATTTACATTTAGTCATTTAGCAGACGCTTTTATCCAAAGCTACTTACAAATGAGGACAAGGAAGCAGTTTGCACAACTAACATTAGTGAAACATTTTTTGTAGTAGGAGTACAGTTAGCGGTTTATCCAGAGAGGCAATTGCAGATTAGGAAGTGAAGTGGAGACTAAATAGTCAAGTTTTTAGTCTTTTCTTGAAGACAGCGAGTGACTCTGCCGTTCTGATGCAGTTAGGGAGTTCATTCCACCAACTGGGCAGATTGAATGCGAGAGTTCGGGAAAGTGATTTCTTCCCTCTTTGGGATGGAACCACAAGGTAACATTCAATCACAGAACGCAAGTTTCTGGAGGGCACATAAATCTGCAGAAGTGAGAGCAGATAAGAAGGAGCAAGGCCAGAGGTCACTTTGTAAGCAAACATCAGAGCTTTGAATTTGATGCGAGCAGCAACTGGCAGCCAGTGCAAACGGATGAGCAGCGGAGTGACGTGTGCTCTTTTAGGTTCATTAAAGACCACTCGTGCTGCTGCGTTCTGAAGCAGCTGAAGCGGTTTGATAGAGTTAGCTGGAAACCCGGCTAGTAGAGAGTTGCAATAGTCCAGTCTGGAGAGAACAAGAGCTTGAACAAAAGATTTGTCTCTTATGATCTCAATTTACACATTGTGCCTAGAACAAGCTTTAAAAAATGAGGTTAGAGTATTTGCAGTTGTCCTAAATTCTGGAAAACTCTACTAATTCACATTAGACTTTCCACCTTCATTTCTGTGTTTAAGTTCGTTTTAAAGACCTATTCATTTTCTCTCGCTTTTAATTCTCCTTGATCACTGTTTTATTTGTTAAATGTTTCTGTTATAGTCTGTTTTCTTCTCTGTCTTTAGTACTCTTATGTACAGCACTTTGATCAATTTTGGTTGTTTTTAAATGTGCTATTGTATTCTTTTGACGATTACCATTTTAATTTCTACCATCTTCATCAGCTTTTTTATTTTCTATTATTTAGACATCATGAAGCATTTTACATATTTTATTTTTAAACATTGTACAATCTTTTTTACATACAGTTGAAGTCAGAATTATTAGCCCCCCTGAATTATCCCCCCACCCCCCGTTTATTTTTCCCCCAATTTTAGTTTAATGGAGAGCAGAATTTTTCAGCACATTTCTAAACATAATAGTTTTAATAACTCATCTCTAATAACTGATTTATTTTATCTTTGCCATGATGACAGTAAATAATATTTGATTAGATATTTTCAAGACACTTCTATACAGCTTAAAGCTTAAAGTGACATTTAAAGGCTTAACTAGGTTAATAAGGTTAACTAGGCAGGTTAGGGTAATTAGGCAAGTTATTGCATAATGATGGTTTGTTCTGTAGACTATCGAAAAAAATAGCTTAAAGGGGCTAATAATATTAACCTTAAAATGGCTTTTATAAAATTAAAAACTACTTTTATTCAAGCTAAAATAAAAGAAATACAACGTTCTCCAGAAGAATAAATATCATCAGACATACTGTGAAAATCTCCTTGCTCTGATAAACATCGTTTGGGAAATATTTTAAAAAGAAAAAAAATCAAAAAATCAAAGGTGTGCTAATAATTCTTACTTTAACTGTGTATATATATTTAATAATTTGTATAAATGCTTAACAAAAACAATAATATAGGGGCACAAGAATTTTCTTGTGCATTTAAAAGGACCTAAAATCCTGAATTATCTGGATATTTTTTTAAAGCATGCATCGCTGTTTGTCTTGCTCACCCATGAAGGCCACTTGGTCCCAGTGGAGTTTCCTCTTGTCCATCAGCTTCTGCATCTCCAGAGCGTTCCTCTGCTCAGTGAAGCTCAGGCCACAGCCGGCTCTCTGAGAAACCTTCTCTAAAACTCCTCTGGACAGAGGCTCGTTCACGCTGGAGATGAGGATCACCTGCACACAACAGCATTCACTTACTACTAGGGCACTATATACAGTAGGGAGCAAGGAGCCATTTCGGACTGGTCAAATCTATTGTGCTCATACTGTATTTATTCTCCCTTTATTTTTTATAAATCTTCTTTTTCGTAAGCTGGCCTTTTTTGTCCAGGAACAACACAAGTGTCACAAGGTGGAAAAAAGTGCTTAGATTATAAATATTAAGCAAGCAATTAAAATTAAAATGGGGAAGTGGTTATAAATTGTGATAAATGCATGTTTTTTACCAACAAAATTACATTTTGGGGGGTAAAGAAACTTTATAAAACCAGTCCTTGCTCAAATTTACCAATTTGCATGCAGAAAAAAGGACATTTTGGGACAAACACAATTGAAAAAAAAAATTAATCCACTTTTAAAAGCTTAACTAACAAATAAATAATGTAAAAATCTAAACATTTAATGCACATATGAAAACATGACAAACGCTGAAAAAGATCATCTACATAAATAGATTGTGGTCATTTTTACCAAACATGTTCATTTGCTCACTTCCTTGTACACTACATAGTGTATAAGGAGAGATTTGTGATGAGTCAAATATCAAAAAACTTTGTGATCAAGGCATATTTTTTTTTTCTTTTACCAACTAAATAACTCTTTTGTGGATTAAAAAAAACGCCTCAGGTAATTTCTTGTAAAATTAGTGCTTGCTCAAATTCACCTCTTTTCCAGCAAAAAAAAAAAAAGACAGATTAAGTTATAAAAAAATTAAGCTAAATGAACAAATGAATAATGTAAAAATCTAAACATTTAATGCACATATGGAAACGTGACCTAAATGCTGAAAAAGATAATCAACATAAATAGATTGTGGTCTTTTTTTACCAAACACGTCACTTTGCACACTTCCTAGTGCACTACATAGTGTTTGAGGAGGGATTTCAGACCAGTCAAAAATCTTTCCACAACATCTGAATGCCTGCCACAAATGTTACAAGGTTAAAAAAAAAAAAGACAAAGTGGAAATATTGAGTAATCTAAAATAAAAGTGGAGGGGGCCATCAATTGTGTGATGGTGTACTGTATGATAGTGGGTTTTACACCAACATAATGACATTTTTGTGGGTAAAAACTTAAATTTTTGTAAAGTCAGTGCCTGCTCAAAGTTATTCAACCTCTTTTCATGCTTAAATAAAAAAAATCACTCAATTTTTATAGTTTTTTTAACCACTGTTCAAGCTAAATGTCAAATGATGTAAAATACAAATGTTTTATGTACGAATTGAAACATTGTGACAAAAGCAGAAAAAAAGTGTGTGGTCATTTTTACCAAGCACGTCAATTAGCTCACTTCCTAGTGCACAAAATACTGGATTTGATGAGGAGTAATTTGGGACGATTCAAATATCATCGGATTCTCAAAATCTTCTCTCTGCAGCATCTGAATATCTGCCACAAGTGTTATAAGGTGGAACAGAATTACCCAAAAAAGTAATAAGTAGAAAATGGGAAGGTGGCTACAAATGTATGATCAAATTATGTAAGATTTTCCCAACATAATGACATTTTTTGGGGGTAGAACAAAAACTCATTGGGTCATTTTTTTTGTAAAATCAGTGCTTTCTCCAAATTATACCCCTCTTTTAAAGCAAAAAAAAAAACAAAAAACAATACATTAATTTTTGGGGGTGTTGGGACCTTTAAAGATCTTTTGTTCAAGCTAAATATCAGATCTATAATGTAAAATCAAAATGTTTATGTACAAATGAAATCAAATGCTGAAACAGAAAATTTACATTGTGATCATTTTTACAAAACATGTCAGTTCGTTCACTACCTAGTGCACTACATAGTGTATGAGGAGTGATTTGGGACGAGTCGGAAATCAACTGAACCTCGATATTTTCTTTCTGAAGCATCTGAATGCCTGCCACATCTCGAGCATTGATGGTCACCAGATCTTCTCCCGAAACAGACATGTAGATCTGACCGTTGGTCAAACAGCCGGACACTTTACACAGAAACAGCCGGACCGCAGCGTTCTCCTCTCGGCCAAAATAACCAAACCTGCAGAGAACAAAACGAAATTATGCTAAATGTAAAAAGAAAAAAGCAGTTCCTGCTTAACAAATGCTGCATTTAGTGGATTTTAAGTGCAGTAAAAAGTGTGAGTAGTATAACAAGGTAAAATCACGGTTGTCTTTTTGAATGTGGTGGAGTTTTTGTTTTATTTCTAGTCCAAATATTTAAAAACACTGAAATCAAGAAGCATTTTCTTTACAAGCAAAACAAAAACGTCTTGTTTTCAGAAATATTAAGCCAAAATTAAGTGAGTTTTTCTTCAAAACTAATCAAAATAATCTGAAATAATCCAAAAGAATTCAAAGCTAAAACAAGATTATTTCACCTAATTTTGACATCTAGTTTCTAAAAACAAGATATTTTTTGTTTATCTAGAAAAAGCTCCTTCATTTAAAACTTTTTAGATATTTAAACCTAACTAGACAAAGCCTCCAAGAAAAGCTTTATTTTGCAGCACAGTCTTCAGTCTCACATAATCCTCCAGAAATCATTATAATATGATGATCGGATCATCAATAAATAATTACTGTTACTATCAGTCTTGCTGCTTCATGTTTTTGTGTAAACTGTGATCAAGTGCCATTGAAAAGCACCATTCAAAATGTATTTACTTTAATCCAAAAAAAAAAAAAACATTCAATTGATTATAATTGACATTTATAATTAAAAATATATTGCAAATCAATGCTGTTGTTTTGACCTTTCTATTTACATTTTTAATATGAATATTGATGATGGAGCACCAATAAGAACTGATCATAACACAACAGCAGATCAGTATATTAATAGTGGTTTCTGAAGGATCAGATGACATCACTACTTGGCTCACATACTGTATTCCCTGCCTGATCTCACGAGGAAATGCAAGTATTTGACGTTTTGACAGTTTAGTGGCTTATTCGTACGAATTCATGGGAGTTCAGTCGTATGAAAATGTACAATTTTAAAAAAGGAGGCGTGGCACCTATTTCCCCACCCCTAACTGTCATTGGGTGATGAGCAAATCGTACTAAATTGTACAAATTAGATTGTACGAATTCATACGAATTAGCCATTAAATCAAAAAGTTACGAATTGCTGTGAGATTGTGTTGGTATTTTGCATACTACTGTACTGTATATTGTAGGGAAGTATGCGATTTTGGACGCAGCCGAAATATGCTTCTTTTAAAACATGAAACGATGACGACGAAATTTCTGATGATAGACGTTATAAATCTTCATGCTAGGGTTTAGTTCTACTTTAGTTTATTGGTTCACCTGAGGACTCTCTGCTCAGCCACCGGCCAGTCGATGTCCACGTCGATATCAACACTGAACTCAGGAGGCATTTCATAGTAGGCGATCCTGCCCAGCTGAAACACACACAGCAGAGGATATATAAGATATAC